CTTTTTTATGCGTCTGGACAAGGTACACGTACCACAGAAAATTCGTGCACGTAGGTGAAACGTGCGGCGGGGGCTGCTTCGTTAAAAGTAACTTCCTTCTGCCAGCAGGTGGCGCTATGACTGTGGGTGAATGTCAGCATGTACATGTGTTCAAGGCGGGACTTGAGAACACACTCGGATTATATATATATATAATCCGAGCAAATTCAATAGGGACCTCACACGGTCGTGCTCGGGCCCTAAAAATATATATATAATCCGAGCAAATTCAATAGGGACCTCACACGGTCGTGCTCGGGCCCTAATAATAATCAGAGCAAATTCAATAGGGACCTCACACGGTCGTGCTCGGGCCCTAAAAAAAAAATCTGAGCAAATTCAATAGGGACCTCGCACGGTCGTGCTCGGGCCCTAATAATCTGAGCAAATTCAATAGGGACCTCGCACGGTCGTGCTCGGGTCCTAAATATATATATAATCTTAGCAAATTCAATAGGGACCTCGCACGGTCGTGCTCGGGCCCTAATAATCTTAGCAAATTCAATAGGGACCTCGCACGGTTGTGCTCAGGCCCTAAATATAATCTTAGCAAATTCAATAGGGACCTCGCTCGGTCGTGCTCGGGCCCTAATAATCTTAGCAAATTCAATAGGGACCTCACACGGTCGTGCTCGGGCCCTAAAAAATCCCTTCAGTTTCAATAGGAACTTCGCACGGTTCAGGACATTCTTACTGTGATGGACTATATTAATGTATGTTTTGTAATGCAATTTTCACAAAATCTGCTTCTATATTTTCCTTTGCCGGATTTTTTGATGCTGCTTCCCACTGTGCTTGCTCACACACACACTCACACACACACACGTGCTACTGCTGAGCCTGGGCAGTTAGATACAGAAAGGAACACATACACTCAGAGCTATAGAGTTTTAACACTGTGATCCTAACTTTACACTATAAAATAACACTTTAAATGATGAAAATGTAGACCACCATTGCTCTAGTAATTAATGATAACAATTTAGGCTATAATTCTCCAAAATAATTCACAACAACAAATAGTTAGTTTCTGCTCCACAGTGCTGTCACGTGACAAATGAATGACTCAAACCTAGAGACCAGCGGCGTTGCTAGACATAAAGCTCTACTAGGGCACAGGTCCCCATATCCCTCATGTAAATATTTGATTTATTTTTGATAGAAGTTTATGAAATGTCTTAGTATATACCTTACCTCTATGGAACATCCAAAGTGACAGAACTGAATGAAAGAATAAATAAATAAATGGGGAAATAAATGCAAGAAAGAATTAATGAATAAAAGAATAAATAAATAAATGGGGAAATATATCAAAGAAAGAATGAATGAATAAAAGAATAAATAAATAAATGCAGAAATATATCAAAGAAAGAATGAATGAATAAAAGAATAAATACATACATTTGCTTTTGCCTTTCCCCAATGAGACCTATTGTCATTGCTTTTCCCTTAAGAGACCTATTGTCACTGCTTTTTCCTTACAGACCTATTGTCATTGCTTTTTCCTTCCTCTTCCTTAACTGTCAATCAACGTGTTGTGGCCCGCCCACTAAGTCAGGTCGAGCAGCCGATGACTGATACTATCTTCAGTGTGGATATGCTGTCCCTGGAAGAGTGTAATGATTGGTAGAAAGTTTAGAAGGAGTTATGCTGCGTTCAAAACCGGTCGGAAACTGGTTGAAACTTCCGACTTCCCACATCAAAGCATTCCAGGTGCATGGTGGTACATGACACCGAAAGTGAACAAAAACCATGGCTAACTGTGACAACATGTACACTCAGTTGCACCCTCAGCAGTGTTTTAGGTGTTAATTAAAAGGATGGCATTTTAACTGCAACAACTTAATATAACATAAATAGCTATAGCTAACTAGTTAAATGTTCAGTGTATAATATATCTGAGGATCTATTGACAGAAATGCAATATGATATCCATAACTGTGTTTTCAGTGGTGTATAAAGACCTTGCATAATGAACCCTTATGTTTTTAATACCTTAGAACGAGCTATTTATATCTACATACACGAGGCACCCCCTGCTGTGGAGGTCGACATATTGTGTCATCATGTTTCTACCGTAGCCTACAGCGAACAAACAACGCTTTCGTCACTACCTTGAAAGAGAAGCAGCAGAAGAAGTAGGAGCAAGAGCAAGAAGAAGTTGTACGTTTCTAACTACTAGGTAGTAGTAGAAGCTCTACTTTATTAGTAGTGGAATTTTGGACAAATGGAGGACCACAGCTATTATTTAGCACAAGAGCTCACGGAGGGTGAATCTGCTTCAAAGAAGCGAAAGCATGATGAAGCCAGACTTATACGGGAGCGACGCAGGCAGAAATCATGGGTAAACATCTGTGTGGCTTTTCCCAGATGGAAGGGTCTAATGAGGGAAAAATGTTTTCAAAGCCACACCGAAGTTGCCAGTTTTCTGATGCACAGGTAAGGTATTCCAACTTTAGCACTGCAAATGAAAACTTGTTTGATAATGTTAGCATTAGCCAGAAGCTAGCCATAGACACCGTGAGAAATGACTTTTCCCTTGTCAGTGGTGTAAAATATGTAGTTGGATAGTTTCATGTGGTTCTTCTCCCTCGCTGTGTTATGGCTTTGCTATGTGGGGATAAATGTGCTGGTTACGTTCGTGAGACAATCAGCTGATTAGTATTATTGACTGCAAAACAGTAAGTTAGCCTACAGCTAACAGCTCATATTAGCCAGCTAAACATTTACTACCCTATTAGAAGAAATATGTAACGTTAGTTGGATTGTTATTTCGAAGGTTGTTCTCCAGCACTTCAGCTTCGTTTAGTGGACAGAAATGTGTCTTTTGTGTTTGTGAGACAATCAGCTGATGATTACAATTAGCTAAACCGTAACATTGCATGGAGCATGGTGGCTCAGATTAGCGAGCTAAATGTTTACTGCCCTGGGGGAAAACATTTATTTTTACTGCTAACAGCATTATGATAACAACACTGCGTGCTTATCAAGTGACTAATTTTGCTTATTGTCAGAATTTACATTAAAAACAACGTATTTGTTTGTATTGCTTCTAGGGTGCATACAAAGGTTACCACAAGCTCAAATTATGGCACTCAGTACTTATTTGTGTTATATTATATTGTAGAGCACCCTTGATCCTCACCTGACTATGGCTTTGTAAACTTACCCATGATGTGTTTTATAATGGACTGTGGTACAGAAACAGAGCCATTTTTACACACTCTTCGCTTACGTTTTCCATGTTGTCTGTTGGTGATCATACTTGCACTAGATGTGATAGTTTTTGGGATATTCAATTTATTAGGCAAGATGAGCAAACCCTACAAAGATGTAACACATTGTGGATTACAGTACAGTAATGTATTACAGTCATGTAGCACTTCATTTATTGAGGCTGCTGCTGTTTCTCCAGCTACTAGACAGGTCCTGCAGCATCGACTCCCTTGAAGAGAAAACCTTTGCAAGTCCCAGCTCCAGCATTGTCTAGCATTGGTGCTTCTAGTGGAACAGACCGGTAAGTCATGCATAACAATATATTAATTTTGTCCTAATAGCTTTGATTAGAAACATGAACTTTATGATTAGTGTGTTATTTTATTTTTGGTCTATATCTACTATTGAATATGTGGGATTTACACAACTTGCTCTGGTTATTCTTTACAGAGATGAGCATCTTGATGTCATTCCTGAAGCCACAGAAATTCAGGGCCTTGAACAAAGGTAACATGTACACATCATAACTTTTAGCCCTGTATTGCTTTTCTCCAAATGTTCATAATATATATTTGTAATATGTTTTTTGCAGCTTACATGACATGAGCACTGTTGAGGAGGACTTGGAGGAAAATGTTTTCAATGACCCAATGAACAGTGTATAAGTAGCACTTCTGAATTACATGTATTATTTTTCAGTGATATTATTTGAGAACTTGTTTTTATTATGTAAAGAATTGATTGGGCAGATAAAGCTTCATCTTACTCCCTTGAAAGAGATGATGGACAGAATGGTTTCAGCTCTGATGAAGAGGATCTTCCACCGATTTCTATACGGTGTGTTATTTGTCAGTCTCAATTTGCAATTGTTTTGTGGTGTTTGTTTACTACAGATTTTTGTGCCTCAATAGAATGGGTGGAGCACTGAAGAAAGCACACTCTATCGATGGACTTCCTTGCCTGCACATGAAGATGTTCCTGATGAGCCTTCTCCCTGTGATCATGACTCTGTTTTCCCAGAACCACAGAATGTCCTTCGTGAAGATGACATTAGGTGTCAGAGCCTCCATAGTGTACGAGAACTGCTTAAGACAACTGGCTACATTTCTGATCCTGCCTGTGGATAAATGCACTGGCCTTCTGAGGACTGGTGCGCCGTGCAACTCTGTTGCACCCTTTGAGATCAACATCACCACCAAGGGCACAGCAGCTACTATCGAATGGGTAAGTCCAGACAATCACAGAATATCACAACTTTAAATTAGTATAAAATGAAAGGTTATACCAAAAGCCAGTGCTGTACATGACAAAAGCAAATGTTTCTTCTGTGGGACTTTTAGATATAATGGACACAGCTTGTGGAGGTGGAATTCCCAGACTGTGATGAAGTTTGGGATGCAAGCTGGAGATTTTCTCTTGTCCACCAACATTTTGTTGTTTGGCAACAACTACGCAAACGTTGCCCTCTTGTTCAAATTCATGAACACGGGGATGGTGAACAGGAACACTTTCTTCTCCATTCAGGACACTTACTGCGTCAATACAATAAAGGATTTCTGGGAAGACAGAAGGACAGAGGTTCTTTGTGGCCTTCAAGGGAAAGATGTTGTCCTAGGTGTGTAGTTGATACTGTATTATGTAACATAGCTATTGAATACACTAAGAAATGACAGTATGGAAACAACTAATAACTGTTTTTCTGTTGAATTATATTTTTAAAAATTTCAACGGATGGCAGAAATGACTCTCCTGGTCACTGTGCACAATACTGCAGCCACACCACCATGGAGAATGACACCAAGGAGATCATTCATGTTGCCACCATAGACAAGCGGCAAACATCATGGAACTCTGTCGTCATGGAGAAGGAGGGTTTCATCCAGACTGTGGACAAGCTTACATCAGAAATAAAGCTAGTGGAGATTGGCACAGATGCTCATGCCCAGATTGGTGCCCTTATGATTAAGTATTCATGTGATATATTGTATGGATGCATGTGTATAACAGCAATATAAATATTATAGTAACATGACATTATTTACCACTTCATAGACCCAGACAAAGGCAAATACAAGGCCCTTGGAATTCATCACAGTCTGGACATGTTGCATGGTGCGAAGAACCTAAAAAAAATAGCAGCAGTAAGTGTAATAACTGGCTAATGTTGTGAAACAATTATTAACCATAAAGTTACTATTCTGTACATCAGGGTTATTGAACTATGTGCAGTTGATGGATGACAGTACGGAAGGTTTCATTGCACTCAAAGACAACAGATTTTGTTTACTTTCCTCTGCCAGAAGATGTGTTACTCATTCTAGACATTTGGTGTAGTCATTTAGTGTTTTCTTTTTTGGGGGGGGGTGTTGAACATTTACACTTTCACCTCTACACACAGACTATAGTTGAATGCCTGTATTTTACAGTAATATTTATTTTTCTCTTTTCAAGGCAGCAAAGATAAAAGGACCGTCCATCCTCTTCAACTGGCTGAAGGACATAGTCAACCATTTTCGGTGGTGTTGCAAGACTGCTGACACACGTGGGCAGTTTCTTGTAAGCACACAATTTTATTATATCTTTGAGTAATTTCATTAATTGCTATATTAAGGACATATTTATAGTGCATTTTTCTGTTTTGCAGGCATTATGGGTTGGCATCCTTCACCATGTCTGCAACATTCACACCTGGACTATGGGAAGTTGCAAACACGGGCACCTTGAATCGGATCAAATGCGGGGAAATATGTGGATCCAGAGAGTCTCCCAGTGCCACAAAGCTTTAGTGGATATAGTTCTCAATAAGAGGTGGCAGAAAGATGTTCACAAATATCTGCGATTCAGGTAGTGTGGCTATACTTTTTCACACTGATGTATATTACTAATATTTATGCTTACTGCCCATGTACACATAAGTATGTATTTGTTTGTTCTATCAGATCGACTGCAGACATAGAGTCATTCCAGAATCATATCCTGATGTATGCCAGCAAGTGCTATGCTTTCAGCCCCTCAGTTTATGAGGCAAGAGTTCTGCTTGCTGCTTTGGACTACAATTTCCACCGGAACCGACCAACAATGAAAACGTTGGACGGCAAAGAGATGTACGTTTTACACTTGTATAATATTCCCATTCATAGTACAATATTCAGCCCATGTTTTATATGCAATTGATTGTCTTTACACTCAAGGTTTTCTCTTGTTCTACTTTACAGTTTAGTGGACAGAAATGTTTCAAAAGTTTCAAAAGATTGTATAAGAAGAACGGTAGAAGATACAGCGGATATGCCTTGAAATCTGAAAAAACCTACAGATACATTTCTGAGATGCAAAGAAGGATTGTGAAGAACAGACTCACAAGTGGAGTGGGGATGCCTAGAAGGAGGAGCCTTCTCCCAGATGACCCCAGACAGCTTGGTTTGGTGCCCCCTGTACCTGTACCAGCCACATCAGACTTGTTGCAGAGACGTCAGAAGAGGTCTAGGTAAGTTACACAAATTTGTTGCCTATGTTGTACCATATTACATGTCACTGAATGATATTTACATTACAATATAGTCTGTAACTATGTTTGATGGCACTGTCTTCAACAGGACCGTTATTCCAACCAGCATCTGATGTGGAAGGATCCCCATAGGAGATCACCTTGCATGTGTCCTGGTACTTGTCAGGCAGGATCACGAGGGAAAGAACTTCAGTTCACTGACAAAGTCATAGCTTTTACTCTTCAAAAAGAGAAATTTATTAACATTAAATTCTGTTCCTACCCTCCTCCAGTGGTTATTTCATGTTTTTCCATTTTGTACACTGTATTCTGCTAAGTCCACTGTGACCAGCGCATATTATTTTCAGTAGGTAGCCTAAATTACAGTTTACAATTTTGAACAGTAATGATAAGTAAGGCTACAGCTGTCCCCTATTATGTAAATATAAATAACTAAAATTGGTATTGGAAATGTTATGGCAAAGTTTGAAATTGTCATGCTTAACACGTGTTCAAATGTATATAAGTAATATATAAAAACGCCATGTGCTTTCCACCATGTGATGGCGCATAGATAAGATGCTTGCCTGTGGTGTGGGAGGCCTGGGTTCGGTTCCCGCTGTGAGACATCCACCATTGTGTCCCTGAGCAAGACACTTAACCCCTAGTTGCTCCAGAGGCTTGCAACCTCTGACATATATAGCAATTGTAAGTTGCTTTGGATAAAAGTGTCAGCTAAATGAATAAGTATTTCTTACCTTTTTATTTTTTCAATACCATCGAACTGCAGTTGAACAACTATAACACAATATACATATAACTATACAAAATACATCAAATTTAAATAAGGAGGGGAGAAATATGAATAAATATATATAGAAATGTAATAATACATCAAATGTTAACTATGTACATTTGTTTGATTATGCTGAGGCAGGTTTGTGAGTATTTGTGTGAAACCGTATGACCATGCCATAGGGCCTGGAAGGAAATTCACAGTCCAGGAATAAAACCTGTGTAGTGTCCTTGAGGATCAGGGAACTTGTCCCTGATCCTCCAAACACAACAACTGGGCCTAAAGCTCCATGTTGCCAATAGATTAAGTGTCAATAGGCACCATGGCGTTACTCCCTGTTGTCATCCCCAGGCTCCCTGATGTTGCCTAATGCCTTAATGTCCTCCTGGTACTGCCTGCGAATAAAGCCTTCTTCAAGGCAGTACTGGGAGAAGTGTGGCAGTAGGCTCACACAGTTCGCTTGCTCCTGGCCACAGCATTTCCTCTCCTGGTCTGTAGGCATTTCCCTACAGTTACCACAAGTACACCAAGGACCTCCTGGCACTCCGGCATAAGGAGGGGCATCATGTCTGCGCTGATGCATTATCAAGGCATCAAAGACCAGGCCTGGCTGCCTCTCCAGCAGAAGTGTAGAGAGCTCTCTGTGTTCTTCAAGGGTCATTTCCTGAAGAAGTCTGAAGAAAGAGGACACAGGGAAAAATACTCAATAAGCAATATTCTCTGCTTCAATACTCTGGTTACTCTGTCTCGATGTTGTTTTTAAGATTGTATCCATTCCAAATGAAATATACCGGTACTCATTATTATTATTACTATTAGTATTTAATGCACAATATTTATCATTACACTTCTGTTGATGCTGTAAATTACTTTACATGTCCACATTACCATTATTTACATTTTATAATTTGTATATTTAATTATTTGACTTGCTACTCTCTGCTGTCTCAGACGACGACTTCTTTTATCCTATGTCGGCCACTGAAGTCAGGTACATAATTTTTTCCGAGTTCACAAGTAGGAAATCCAACTTCAGGTGGCGTTCCATGGTACCTTTTCTAGTTGGAGGTCGGAAATTTGCCAGTTGCCTGGAACGCAGCATTAAGCTGTATTCACAGGCAGGTAATGACATCACACCTACATGTAACAAATCTGTTTCCTGGACTTTTTACAATAACGGCTGACAAGTGAGTGCCAGATAATTCCCTACAGTCACAGATAATGGGTTGAAAACTGTTGATGGAGATCCCCTATACAACACAGCTTCTTCCCGCCAAGTAGCCTGCAATGGCCGAATTACATCAAGACCTGAGAAGAGAACTTAGTCAAGAACTAGTAAATATTGCTCAGTGGGTGGAGGAATATGGCGTTTCGGAATTTATTTTGACAAGGGTGGAAGATGCGATGGAGAGTTGTATTGCACAATCTCCAGGAAGTAGCCACACAACTCAGAGAGGGATCTGATGTGTGGAGGACATCAACAACTGGACGACGTCCACTGGAAGTTCCTCTGGATGTAATGGAGTCCTACATTCTGCAGGGTTTACCAGCTGCTCAAATTGCTGACTTATTTGGAGTGTCAACGCGAACCATTAGAAGGTGGATGGCACATCACGGATTGAGGTAAATTTGTTGTAACGTCAGTTATCTGAATCTGATAGTCAGACAGATAAATTAAACAAATTAGGTGGATAATCGCTCATGGCTCAAAATGATTAACTGTGGCTCATAGTCAAAACCAGCACTGGTTTGCACACATGAAAAGCATTGTTGATATTAAGTTAAGGTTGCTCCAACCTGTAGCCTACATCCATGTAGCATTTATATTAATATAAAAGAAAACCATAACAGTAGGCTATGCATGACTGACATTGATTGCCTAACATTTCACGTTAGTTACCACTGCTGTTATCAACTGTTCTGACAGGCTATCTAATTTGTACACTCCTTTGACTGACAAAGAAGTGGACAGAATTGTATTGGAGATCCACAGAAATTTCCCCAGAGCAGGATACAAGATGATCCATGGTCATATTAAATCAAGAAGCATACATCTGCAGAGTAAGTAGGCCTATATGTTTTCTTGCAAATGGTATTAGCATATTAATGTTCGGATAACAGCTAATTGATAGAATGGAACATTTAAATGATTCAATTGGTAGCCTGGATAGGGCAAATCCGACTGTGGGACACTAAATTAACTGATAACCATTTTATTCTTGTGTAAAAGGATGACTGGTTAACATGTGAACTCAGATATGTTTCTGCAGGGTTGGACTGGACCGAATTACCTAGCTTTAATTTGTTTATTTCATGCTGGAAAAACGAGGAGAGGGCTGTCAGCTGAAGGCCGTTTTGGATTGACGTTAATTGTCAACTTGACCAGCTGCAGCGATAATATCCTATAGTAAGCTTTTTTTATAATACAGCAAGCAGGACAATCCACCTTGTCATTGTCTCTCTCTGTGTTTCTCAGTCAAATAAACGTTGGCGACCGTTAATAAGTCGATGTTAAGAACTTCCACGCAGCTATATGGCCACACGTTTTAGCGTTTGTGTGTGTGCGTCTATGGTCTCAAGCCCCGTGCAGATGGATCCATGGTGTAAACAGGCGCTGTGCGAGTTAACAGCTGTGGGTGGGAACCATGACAACGGCTTATGTGCGCTGCCAAATCTCTTAACTGTGTTTTCTTTATAGGCTATACAAACATTATAATATATCTAGGCCTATTTTGTGTTGTTTGATTTCTGGACACTGCTAAACACTGTGATCAGTAGTTGTTTTGTAGGCGTGCTGTTTGCACTTTTGCATTATAAGCATAATGTTAAGCTATAGCTTATGTTTTTTGATAATTTGATGATTGATGCTAAAATATAGGCCTAAAGATAATCATTTGAACATCTGAGCAGACTATAGCTTATATAGTCTATCACTATTCTATTATTATCTAGTCTATTTTTTTCAGTATAGGCTAATTGTGTTATCATTACGATTGGTTTAGGCTATTTCTCAGGGTTTTTATTAGGTTTACCTTGAAAACCCAGTGTTCAGATAGGCTACCAATGGTCAGTCCCAGATGTTTGTATTTTGTAATGTGGATAACTTTCTTCCCAGATGAACAAAGTGGCCAAATCTATAGCCTACCTAGCTTGGTACCCATTACATCAACAAATAGTTGATGTTAGTCTACAATGTTAGTTGTATGGTGGTTTGTGTGAACTGGGTGGCCTGGGATGGAGTCAAATTTCCCAGCCTTTGTGCCAGTCTGCCCCTGACTGAGGGAGTTGACATGGCTTAGATCTAGCACCAACACCATGAACTGTATGTGCACTAGATGTCGCCCACAACATGCTGGAAAACCCAAGTTTACTGAGCCAACTGGCACCACACAGTTTAAACAGAACACGTTAATGAAGCAAAACAGCAGCTTAAAACATAAAATATTTCTAGACAGATACACAAATAAAACAGCATCGCAACTTCCAGTATGTGGATTTGTTAAGCACCATTCACTTAAAATGTGATTGTGAACTAAAATAAAACAGCACTTTGTAGGCTAGTTTGTATATTAATCAAAGGATTGATCAGTAATACAGTTAAAAAAGGTAAAAAGTGAAAAATTACATTGCAGGTTGCAGGTTCTGCCTGTTGACCACAGTGCTCCTTGTAAAAAAGTTAGTCTGGAGCCCTGCTGGAGCCCTGCTCTGCCCTGTAGCTTCAACAACATATAACTGTATATGATAGGTATTTGCACTTCAACAATGCTGGACATTGGCTACGATATGACACATATTTCTATTTGCTTTGCTTACGGCAGGGTATGATGTAATTTCTTGCCAATAAAAGTGCGAGTACTTGTTCAAATTTGTTCAGATATATTGTCTTTAGATGTGTATAATCTCAACAGGTAAACACAATGCCAAATCAAAGTCATTTAAAGATAGCAATTAATTATAGTCTACCCATGCTACAAATATCAATGTAACTTTCTGTGCTTCTGAAATGCAGCCCATCGTGTGCAGGACTCCTTACGAAGGGTGGGTCCTGAGGGTACCCTGGCACGACAATTATCCATGCACATCCTGAGATGCAGACAATATAGTGTCCCTGCCCCGAACAGTTTGTGGCACATCGATGGTAATCACAAACTTATAAGGTTGGTATTCCAACATTGTTTATCACAGATATGTGTAGATATACTTTGGAATGACACAGTTAACTGTTTTTTGTCCCCAAACCTGCTGTATGAAATACAAATGTCGATTGTCATAACTAATTTTACAGATGGAGGATTGTCATCCATGGTGGAGTGGATGGATTTAGTAGACTCATTGTTTATATAAGATGTGCTACTAACAAACGATCCACCACTGTTCTGGACAGTTTCATGTCAGCTGTTGCTCAGTATGGCTTACCATCCCGCGTTAGGTCTGATAAGGTAAAGTAATACACTTAAATTACATATTGTGATTGTAATAAAAGTCACAATTAGCCACAATGTCAATGGGAAGGGAAGACTACAGGATCAACCTGTTTAGCATTAAAGTATTGGATGGTCAATATCTTTTACTATTGAACACTATACGAATCTTATGTAAAAGTTATATAGTCAATGTCTAAGTCTATTTTTGCATTAATAAAAATATATTTACTTATTTGGAAGGTGGAGAAAATGTTGCAGTTGCACATTACATGGTGAACTTGAGAGGACCAAACCAACATTCCCACATCACAGGACACAGTGTGCGTAATCAACGGTATGTATTGGTTTGGTATAAGGTCTACAGTGTAAAAATAAGTAACATGATAAAATACATGTTCATTGGTGATAAATATTTTTACTAGTTAGCCTATTAGCTGTAACATTTGGAGTTCATTTTCTTTCCATTTTTGTCAACAGAATAGAAAGACTATGGAGAGATGTCTATGGGAATGTCCTTCATCTATTCCACACCATCTTCTTCAATTTGGAAGCAGAAGGAATGAGAGACAATGAAAGAGATCTGTTCGCTCTCCATTGGATCTATCTTCCTCAAGTGCAACAACATCTCCAGGTATTCAAGGAGGCCTGGAATCACCACAAACTGAGGACAGAGGGAAATCAGTCCCCCATGCATCTCTGGCTCAGCCAGCCAAGGGAGGGAAATGCAGATAACCCAACTCAGGTATAACTGCAGCGTTTTGTTGTTTTTTTTTTGATGGTTGATTTTCTCCAAAAACATCCCAGTCAAAATTCCAAAGTTAGGTCCAAGTCTTCAACAAGGGAATGTGAGGATGCTTAGCCCATTCCAATTAGCAGAATTCTGACATCTCACACTACCAGTGATAATAACCAGTGAAATCTACACCACAGATGTTGCCTTGAATGGCATTTGACACTATTGTTGTCTTAGTTATGTTTTTTCTATTTTTAAAATTCTGACAATAATTCTATAGAACTTTATCTAGAATAGTATACTTAGTATATAGTATGTAGTTACAAACCCAGTTGATCTGTTCAGGTTGGCGATGATTATGGGATTGACTGGACAGGCCCTCACAACCCATACCCACAAGATGTCATCGTACCTGAGACACAACTACCACGTCAGCTTACAGAGGCCGAAGTTGCAATGTTACCAAATCCAACAATTCCTCTCTCAGATGCACTACAGGCATACATGGATACTGTAAATATTCTTAAAGACATTCTTCAAATTTAAAGAGTAAACATTAATTAGCATGTGCATGTCCAGATGTGTTTTTACTTAATTTATAACAGATTAGTACATTCACACTGACCTTTTGAACATCTTAACTGTCAGCTGGACATCAAGACAAAATCTTTTGTAGTTATGTGATGTATAATAGAGTATACATTTTGTTGTTTGTCTGTAGGTTTGTTAAACATTTGTTTGTCACCTTGTACAGGAACAGCAGTTTGATTTCACATAAAGTTCAAGATGCCAAGCAACTTTGGATGTCAGCTATATTACTCTATTTGTAGAAAACAGCAACTGAATTGTGTGCATGTCAAATCTAATAAACTACTTCTAAACATTTAGAACTTGTAATTTCTTTGCTGAAAATGGTGCCGGACTTTCTAGATTTCAACTTTAACAGAATGAACACATGCATAAAACTGACTAACTTACATTTTTACACCCTAAGGAGCTGCCTGAGGATTCTCTGTATTCATAGTTGCTATCTGAACTCTTTTCAACATTCCAGAGATAAAACAACAACATTTAACATATTAAAACTAATAATTCTGGTTGTAAAATTAAAGCGATCATTAATCCAGTTTACAATGGTTTGGCCTTAAACAAGCCCAAATCCACTTTCCACGGTGTTGATGCTTGCAAGTAGAGCTTCACGAAAAACACTGTATGACTGATAATGTGATGGGAGCTTCAGTGTTTCGAAGCATGTGCTGGCTGTAGGCATGCTGCCACGTCCAACTTTGACGACAAGTTCGTGTGGAAGAACTTCCCATCCATGCCAGAACTTCAGCAGCTGTAGGAGATCTTCTGACGATGCTAAAATTAATTTTATTACAACTTCATTAGTTTGTATTGGTGGATTTGGCGCATATAGAAAAACAAAGACCGTTCACTTGGCCATCTTGACAGACTTTCCTTTTTCAAAACCGTGCAGAATGTGTTGGCAGGGCAGCAAAAGCAATTATTGCTATGTCTAGGGCAGATATCTTTTGAAAAATGTGATCTAAATGCATTAAATCTGTCACCTTTTACAAGACAGAAGCCAAACTTGGGGTTACATGTGCAACTAACACTTTCAGGTAAAATGTCAATGGTGTGTTTATGTATGTGGATTTTTGTATATGAGTGTATAACATTTCGGTAGTGTTTGAGAATATTTCAGCTGTAATTGTGAAAAGTCTGTCAAGTTTATTTCTGTTGACATTTTAAATTTATATATGAGAGTTGAAAAGCATAGTGTACACTACATCAGTAGGGAATGTGAGAGGTTTTCAATTAAGAGTATTTTAGTTGGTTAACTGGGAGAGTCTTATAATACATACCATGTGAAAAATGACGTATTTGTAAATGCAAGCCAAATTTTGGATTATGTCCCCATATGGCTCCTAGATCACCTATTCAGCACATTCTCATTCATCGTAAATGTACTTGGAGCTTGGACTTTCATTTAATGTATAAAATCAATTGAGGACCATGAATATGATTGGAGTACCACAAGTGAAGATACTATATGGAAACATCTTCAATAAATTTTCTCAAGAATCCAGATATGTGACATTTGTCTTCAAGACTTGTATCATCATCCTCGTCATCAGTGTCGGACTGCATTGGCCAAGTTACTCTGTCCAGAATCACCTATATGATAAAAAAGATCATTCAAATCACACAATTAATGTTGGGTAGTAGTCAACGGTAGCAGTTAATCATAATTACTGTTTGCATACATACGTGTGGCTGGTAAGAAACAGAAGAGCTCCTTGGAAAGAGCAATGGGATGGTGTCTGGCCTCTCTGTCAGCTGATCCATTACACGTGTTTCTTTTAGTCCTCTCTTTAGCTGTTTAATTTGCTGTCGAGATCGGCCAAGAACCTATAAAAAGCAATGCTTTTTTTGACACTTCATAATATCCATATAAGAAGATGATCATTTTTTAAACACAACGTAGCATCAAATCCATTTCGTTCTTGTAACATTTGTGCCTTCAAAGTTACATTTATGATAAACAAGGAAAATCCACTTGCATAAAGTTCATTTTTTTTGAACAGTAATATTTTTTATTAAAAAGTTACATGTAGGATTTGTGAAAGAGCTTACAGTAATCATTCGCTCAAATTTTTAAGATGGCAAATAATAAATTAAATCTAGCAAAATTATATATAACTCACTGCATGAAAAAGGAGCTTCTCCAGTAGCCATCTCTTGTTTTCATTGGTCACTCCTGGGAGATCCCACCCCAGTGCCAACTCTTGGATGGACCGCTTCTGCTCTGCCGTCAGTATTGTGGACCCTTCAAGCTGTTTAAAACATTTGAACAAATATTTAGAGTAATACAAATTTAATGCAGGTACAAAATAATTTATAAATTCAGGTAAGGTGAAATGTATACCAGTCTGACTGTCTCCCTGACATCTGTGTCACAGCAGTCTTCCATGTCAATGCAGGCCATTTCAGGCATTCCACCACTCAAAACATGGACAATGGCTTGGCTTAGACCAGTCAGACATGGACCATTGTGCAAGAAAGAATGACCTATGATGCGTCCGGCAACTAAGAAAAGGTCACTATCTACAATGACTTGTGACATCGAGGGCACAAGATGATCCTTTTCCCCTTCGAACAACAAGGTCTTTCCGTTTCCTGAAAGATTTAGAAATACACTTGATGTATGAAGTTATTGTGATAATTAAATACAACAAATAGTGCCAATATCTGGTATTAAGATATCATATCACAAAATTGTCATACTAACCAATTTTCCATTGAAATCCAAATTGCATTTGGACATTATAGTAGAAAGGCAATGCCTGGTCACACCTTCCCCAATAGCTGCATCACCTATGATAAGAATACAAAATGTACATACACTCTTGCTTACCTCCGCCAAGGTAGGAAATATTTTTGCCGCATCTGTGTGTTTGTGCCTTTGTCCATACATTACAAACTTTTCCAAAAGTTGGGCACAGATTTGGAAAAAACACAGTAAGAAGGTTGGTTATAGGCCAAGGAAAAACTGATAAACTTTTCATGCCGACTAACAAAAAGGGTCTGCTCTACTGAGGACACACTGTAGTTCCTGAGTACAGTGGATAATGTGTCTTTGTATTACTTGCTGTACCTTCAAGTGTGCATTGGAAGGGAGCAGTCCAATCCACCTTTGGCCTTTTATAGAAGGCAAGAATTCTCTTCTTCCTGTCTTCAGAGGAGTCCCTAAGGTCCATTCTAAAGTGTAGCTCCTGGCCGGATTTTTTCAGAATACTTTCCCTGAAGAGCTTTGCAGCCTGTACTGCATCATGAACCCTCTTCCAATCTTAAATTAGAAAAACAAGAACAACGTTCCTTGTAATGTTAACATTTATAGGCAACATTTTCTAATAAGTTAATATGCTACACAAACCATTGTCTGACTCCATGTATGTACAGCTCTCCGTGGAATCTGTCAGATCTATGGACTGAATCAAAGACTCTGATGGCCCTGAGGTGGATGCCGATGATGCTGTCATCTCTTCACTGACTACAGGTGACGCTGTCAGCACCTCAGCTGCTTGTGTTTCTGGCCTTATTTCAAGAGTGTTCATAATTCAGTGATACAGTGTTTCAAGACAAAGTTTTAGTGCTTTACATAATCGCCTATGACTGTTTAATTAAAGTTAGTTATTTCAATACTTATACAACCATCACAAAACAGTTTATAAAACAGTACATAGTTGACATACCTCTTGCATGCATCAGTGTGTGCCTTTATTTCCACAAATTGGAATTCACCCCCACAAGACAGGCACGTGATGAGAGGTCCCATTGTCTGTGAGGATCCACTACTAGGAATGGCTTACATATGTAGTTATTGGCATGTTATTCAGAAATTAGTGAAAACTGGCAACATACCAGTGTCACACACACATACCTTACTCCCTAAATGTTTTTTTCATAATTGGCCCTATCTTTGTTGCAAAAGCATTTAGAAACTATCCTAAAAATTTACCTTACATTTCAAACTTAGACTGACCTTATCCGTATTCAGACTTCTTTGAAGGGGTCTGATGTAAATAGTGGCATGACCAATCATTGTCTCAGCAGACTTTAGAAACTTTACATTGTAGCCTGTACTTGGGCAGGCAATGAGCAGCAGTTCTCTGCTCCGTGTTGAGCCACGGATTTTCATGAGTTCAAACCCCCCTGCTTCGCTCAGTTTTGGGTATGCTTCCATCAGGCACTGCTTAAAATAGTCTGGGGAGGACTCTTGTCCTACAACAAACAATAAACCATTATTGACAGCACCAGAAACTACAGTATGTAAAAATATGTCACAAATAGCCTACTTGATTTAAATAAAACAATGAACTTTTCATTAACCAAACAAATGTTATCTTATATAATAGATGTCTATGAAGATTCTCAGTCATCCAGGTCATAGTTATCCAACGAAGGTTAAAATCAAGGGCAACTGGACTTGGTTGAAGATACTGGAAGACGTTTCGTCCCTCATCCAAAGGACTTCTTCAGTTCTGACTGACTGGCAGGGAAACTCAGTTATTTAACCTCAGTGGAGTCGCTGGCCCGGGTCATTGATACCGCTGGTTCGTTAGTGTTCCTTGTTGCTGTGACGACAGTCGTTACAGTCGTTAAGACTACCTGTGGCCAAGACTGAACGACCATCGTTGGTATCTTCACCTGAGGTCAATAGGTTACGATTGTTGAGTTTCCTGGGAAGTGATGAACACAGACCTGTATATTGGGGAGACTAAACAACCACTACACAAACGCATGGCTCAACACAGAAGGGCCAACTCCTCAGGTCAAGACTCTGCAGTCTACTTACATCTGAAGGACAGAGGACACTCGTTTGAGGACCACCAGGTGCACATTTTAGACAGAGAAGATGGATGGTTTGAAAGAGGTGTCAAGGAAGCCAACTACACCAGGGTTGAGAAGCCGTCATTGAACAGGGGAGGGGGTCTACGCCACCACTTACAATGCTGTCCTTTCATCACTTCCCAGGAAACTCAACATACGTAACCTATTGACCTCAGGTGAAGATACCAACGATGGTCGTTCAGTCTTGGCCACAGGTAGTCTTAACGACTGTAACGACTGTCGTCACAGCAACAAGGAACACTAACGAACCAGCGGCGATGACCCGGGCCAACGACCCCACTGAGGATATAGCTGAGTTTCCCTGCCAGTCAGTCAGAACCGAAGAAGTCCTTTGGATGAGGGACGAAACGTCTTCCAGTATCTTCAACCAAGTCCAGTTGCCCTTGATTTTAACCTTCGTTGGATACTTATATAATAGACTATTACGCAAAAAAGGTTATGATTAATAAATGATGAATGATGTGGATATTGCTTTTTTCATAGGACAAATTATAGTAAAATCATGTGATAATGTGCTGTAAAGGCTTTATCCAGAGAAAATGTAATGAATATTGATGGAATCTGATAATCTTACCTTGAAAAGTTATTCTTTTTTCTCCTAAACCAGCATCTGCCAGTTCACATTTCTGCTAGCGAGTGGGTACCAGTGTGGACGTTTTACTGCTTAAACAGCAGAACATGTGTGTAAATGTTACCACGCTTGTAGCTCCAAGATGGCGAGAGCTTCCCGAGGTACTTCGATGGCGAACTCCTGTAGGGGGCAAAGAGTCTTGCCACTTCTGCTGAAAAAGAAAAGGAGTGTTAGTTTGCCAGCCTCAATGTATGATAGTACTTCCACTGTAATCGTTTGTGCCAAAATTTTACCATGGTATAAATGATTACCATGAAAATGTACCATACTTCTATGGTAAACTATCTCCACAATACCATGCATCAGATATACAGTGCCTATAAAAAGTATTCACCCTTGGATGTTTCACCCTTTGGTTTCTTTTATACATGAAATTATGGTCAGTATAATTTTTTGACAGGAATTTGCCAAAAAAACTCTTTAATTAAAGTGAAAACAAACTAATGTCAATTAATTAAATACATATAAAGTTAAGAATATGATTGTATAAATATTCACCCCCTTCAGGTCTGTATTTAGTAGATGCACCGCTATTACAGCACTGACTCTGTGTGGATATGTTTCAATCGGGCTGGCACATCTGGACACTGCAATTTTTCTCCATTCTTCCTTGCAAAACAGCTAAAGCTCTGTCAGGTTGCTCAGGAAACGGGCGTGAACAGCTCTTTTCAAGTACAGCCACAAATTCTCGATTGGATTGAGATCTGGGCTTTGACTTGGCCACTCCAGAACATTGACCTTGTTGTCTTTGAACCATTTCTGTGAAGCTTTTGCTGGATGCTTGGGAGCGTTGTCTTGCTGTCTTGCTGGAAAAAATCTTCTCCTAAGTTGTAGTTCTCTTGCAGACGGAGTCAGATTATAGAGTTTATAATGTATTTTGTATAAATACAAATTTTTCTGGCCCCATCGGGGCACCGTTATTGTCGAGCCCTGAATCAATAGCATTTGTTTTCTTATTCACTGTTTCAGGTTAAATCAGATTTGAATTATATGACATGGCTCTTGTCTCTCGAGACATAACATTATACTATGCTAGACACTATAGCAGTATAGATAAGCTCAGACCTTATTGATTTTCGGGTTTTGACAAATTTGGAACAGAGTTCTTATAGAACCGGGTCTCGATCCCCACCCTTAAGATGATGATACACGGAGCAACTTTTAGAGCAATCGTGCAGGGCAACATTGCCGTCAATGGTAATGAGTAAAGATTAATACGGTAATCCCCTTCCCCCACCACTCTGCAACCCGCCCCGTAACCCCGCTATGCGTTCAAAACATAGTCAGACTTGCCACTAGCAAGATTGCCCAGCAACATTGCTCAAAAAGTTGCTCCGTGTATCATCAACTTTAATTAAGTTCTGTTAAAAACGTTTGTGTGGTCCCCTTTTTATATGCATCATTTTAGGCTTTGTAAACAAGACATATTTGGTTTATGCTTTATTATAGATTAAAACATGCAGTCCATATACTGAAAAAAAAAAATCTAACAAGTTGTTGCAATCTAGAGAGGAGCCACAGGGGCACGTAAGTTACACAATGGATCGCTGGCCTCCGTGCCAGAAACTTTTTTCAGTGACGTTACCGTTAGCATAATGTAAGTTAACTTGCAGCATTCGTTCGCCTATTACATTGCTAACTTCAACACATATTAAGCAACAATAATTTACACCTACCATCCACAGGGTCCCTTGGTCTTGGTAGTCCGGCTGGAGCAGACGGTGGAGTGTCAACGACATCCAACCTGTCTGCAGTTTCTCTTAAAATCTGAGAAATGGACTTCTGCATTTAGTTCTGTCTACGTTAGCAGCAGCAGCAGCAGCAGCAGCAGCTTTTTCTTCTTCTCCCTCCTTGTGGTGTTGTTGTCAGTTGGCAAATAACAAATTGGTGCGTTACCGCCACCAACTGGTATGGAGTGTGGATCAGACCTTTATATGTCTCTGATCATGGAGAGAAATACTTCTGTGAGTGATTACTTGGACTTAATGGGCGGGCCACAACACGTTGATTGACAGTTAAGGAAGAGGAAGGAAAAAGCAATGACAAAAGGTCTCTAAGGGAAAAGCAATGACAATAGGTCTCTAAGGGAAAAGCAATAACAATAGGTCTCCTTGAGGAAAGGCAAAAGCAAATGTATGTATTTATTCTTTTATTCATTCATTCTTTCTTTGATATATTTCTGCATTTATTTATATATTCTTTTATTCATTCATTCTTTTTTTGATATATTTCTGCATTTATTTATTTATTCTTTTATTAATTCATTCTTTCCTTGATATATTTCCCCATTTATTTATTTATTCTTTTATTCATTCATTCTTTCTTGCATTTATTTCCCCATTTATTTATTTATTCCTTCATTCAGTACTGTCAATTTGGATGTTCCATAACCAGCTTCCCTTGCTTAACCCATTAATATTGGCCATGTCAGAAAGGGATTTGACCAGAGCATTTGTTCCTCAATAAAATAAACAGAAAAAGCAAGTGCTAATTTGTTCATGATTCACATTAATAAGATTTAAAAAAAAAATTGTTATATTGTTATTGAGGAAAATTATACTGTAGGAATTATTGTTAGGCTATTGTTTTATTGTCCAGCCCTAATTTATACTATGACTTGACTGAATAAGTGATGTTTATTACTGAAAGATGTACATATTGCCCAGTCTGCCTCACTAATCAACATTGTAATAGTCACTGTGAATTCAATGCTTTCCATCTTACATTAGTCCAGAGTTGTAACTAAACCTTCACTGAGAGACAGATAATTATTGTCTCGTTTTAAAATGATGTGCCAAGGGGTCTTGGCAATATTACTGGGGTACAGCACATGGATACAGGGGGACGTGCCCCAGTAAAAAGGGTCTAACAATGCTTATGATAGAGACCCACAGTTGAGAGTCGTGAGCTAATCATTTATGTTTCCTGTGCTGCCTGCTTACCACAGCCCTGTAGAAGAGCTGTCACATGACAAATGAACGACTCAAATTCAGAGACCCACAGCTGAGAGTCGTGAACTAATCAATTCTGTTTTCTGTGCTGACGGAGCCCATGCAGCTGCCGTGTGATGAGTGAACGTAAGAGTCCAAGACTATTCACACGCACGTGAAAATGAACAGATTACTCACTCAGACTACTCGTTCCTCCTGAGTCATATACAAGATTAGGTCAAATGAACAAAATGTTCTTTGAAAGACTCAACACTACCACAAAACCTTTCCCTGTCTGACTCAGGTTCATCTGTTGAAATGCATAAAACATCATCTGTCTGACATCAAATATTGTTGTATTCATTAAGTTTATGATACATAGTCAATCCCTGACAGAGGCAAATACAAATGTGCTATATTATGCAACACACTTGCCATTCAATCTATTTCTTGCAATGCATTAATTAGGGTTGAGCGATGTCTACAATGAAACATCGGGATGGACGATGTCATCAGTAAAAAAATTGGTACACTATTAACTTACGTTACAAGTCGCGGTGGATATTATACGGACCAGGTAAAGCAACAGTGAACACACAGGGTGCAGATGTTGGTTTAAGTAGTTTAATAGGCTACGTCTGCTGGGGGGGCAGGGGTTTTACAATTACAATGCCGGCTCAACGTTGTGATGTCTGTCAGCAATCGCCGATGGACGATGGCATCGTCTATAAGCCCAAACCTAGTATTAATACATAACTTGAGTCAAGAAGTCCAAGCTGATCATATGAATGTATGAAAATCTGTTGGCTCTAATTTAGGCTACTTCACTGTCACACAATAACTTGTGTACTTTAGTACACCTGTGCTGGTTCTTGCTCTCTCCTCCTACATCCTTTTTCTTTCTCAGTGAATAGAGAATTTTATAAGGGTATTGGAGGACAGGCTGACTTCTCAGTCTCCAGCAACCTTGTGTCCACCCAAAAAGAGTTCAGTGCATGTCACTGATATACCAATAGCCTCAGTCTCCATTTTTTCCTTATTCATATGTAAATCTCATACACCCAAAATACAGAAAATGGGCAAATGCTAATAAGCTCTAGATGTTACATAACATCTGGGATGTTTACACCCCCAAAGTACAGCCCACATTCCAGAGTTAGCGGTCATACAAGCTCATAGAGCTAGAGCTGTAAATTGTGCAGTACAGTGTGTCTCACAGTAAAGTGCTTTTACCGTTATGAAGAAAAGGTAAATGTTTTCTGGTTTTCCCTCTGTCCAAGGGCTGCGCTGCATCTGCAATTTATGATATTTCCTGATGGACAGATTGACTTGCTACTAACGCTGCGGATTGCTAACCGTTGCTAACAGTAGCTCCTGTGGCTCTGAACCAGCTGAGCACCAAGCTTCAGGTCCAGGCAGAATCAGCAATAGGACGGCTAGCTGCAAGGCTAACTCAGTAGCTAAGTTAGTAGCAACTGCGGTTGGCAGTAGTTAGCTGCTAAAGTAACCTGTAACATGTAAACTCCATAAATCGGCAAAAGTGGAGGAATCTCCATCAACTCTGATCCAGTTTCAGTAAAACCAGAGAATAAAGTTGTGTTTTTTTAGTGCTGGACAACGATTACATTTTTTAATCACGATAAATCGCATGATTTTCTTTCAAAATTGAATAATGAATTCTAAAGTAGTGTATTGCGCACTTTTAATTAAATACCAGCAGTATTCCCCTTACAAAGTAGCAATAAAATATTTCTTGTTAATCTCAACTTAAACATTAATGTAATGAAATCGAATATAAAACCAAAGCTATTTGCCACTGCCAGGGCATTACCTTTTATCTAGCTTGTTAAAACAAGTTACCATCAGAGTCCAGTTTTCTTGGGATTTTTTTCTGAACAGGTATCAGCAGAAACATTTCAGGTGAAGTAGTCGCCTCACGAACACGCCCGCCCGCTGCTGAAGTTGAATTTTGTACACGACGCACAGCACAAATCATTGGAAGAGAGACTGATCCTCACTGTTTGTGAGTTTCCAGAATCTATTACTGTTTACTAAATAGGACATCAACAGGAGGGAATTTGCATGGCAGAGCATCCCCGCAAAACTAGATGTAGGCCTGTAGTATGGAGTTAAAACATCACAGAAGCCGCTTTCTTCATAAACATTTAAAGCTGCTCTGGTGTCAGGCGGCACTAAGGTAACACTGAATACATTACAGCCCACCAAAGTGCATGAAAGCATATGTTTCATCAATCCAGTGAAACGTTTTGCGACTGCAAATTTTCAGTTTTGATATACCTGTCAGACTGAGTGGCGTACAGATTTAGCATTTCGCTTTTGAGCGAATTCAGCAGCAGAGGAGTGGCATATTGTTCCAGCATATGTTAGCACTGAGATGACAGGCCCACCAAATGCTATCAGTGCCTTATGTATTGTTCCACCAGTTGGAGGGCAGACCTTGCAGCTTTTTAATAAGGTATAAGGCAAAGATACATGTTGAGCTGTGTACATTTTGGACCAATGTGTTTGCACTACCTTTAATAGCTTTAGTTGTTACCTTGGCAACAACTACTCGACCTGGGGTCCATATTAAAAATATACACTATTACTATTCTGTATATTCAATTATGAATGTCAGTGACTATGGTCTCACATTTTTTCTGTTTTGTTTGTGAAATGTATCCATCTGATACCCAGCCTTTAAAGTTTTTGCTTTTGCATTTAGGATGAAGCGTGGGGGATTACATAAGTGATAACAAACCATTCTTTTAAGCATAAACAGTTTATTTTTGCACCTACAGTTATTTGCCTAAGCTTCATTGAGACGTCAGTTATCTAAGCTGATTAAACATGAAGTAAAGGACCTCACTGTTTCTTGAAATTTGGATAACCACATGAATTACTTTTACAAACTAAAATAGGTTATTGTCTGATTATAGCAAAACAATGTGTTATTTGAAAGAACAAAGGACACAATCTTCTTGTAACACACAGTGTTGCTCAGTTCAATATACTTGGTCTGGTATGACCAGCAACTTTAGATAGATGTTGTGTACTAACGTTACTGAGTCAGTTCCGTGGCTCCGTCACTGTCACTCCCTATTAGGAAACACCAGGCTTAGGTTCAAAAGTTAGACTCAGAGCCTACAGTTACATGCTGGGCTCATAAAACACTATATGAACAGCCTGCACTCATAAATATGTCCACAAATAACATGACTTTCAAATAGCATGCTGTGCTTATGCCAAAGTCCATTTTTGCTTGCAGGTGATAGACCAATACCAGGCTGTACTTTCATTGTGAAGAGAACGTGTATATGCAAATGTCATAAAGAAATTTTTTTTATTATTCTATTCTTACTTCTTACCAGATTATTACTACTGCTACTAGTACTACTTCGGAGGAGGAGGGGGGCTGACCTGACCTGGGGGGTCCTATCTGGAGACTGTTTATAGCACGTGTCCCATATTTTTTATTACATATTAGTGACTACTTTCCATTTTCACAGTAGCCATGTTTCCATCTAATTGTCATGCAAATTTTAAGCATACTTTTGAAATGTCGCAAAAAAGAAATTGCGTAATATGTGTGTTTCCATCAGCTGGTTTGGAGCGAATAAACCAGGCTACGGCAAGCGTAGTTGCATCAGTAGTTGACGTTACACATGACTGTAATAAACAAGACGTATGGGTTCCAAACCAGAAACAAAACCAGTCACATGAACATGAGGAACATTGATCTTAGAAGACTTGAGAGGTCCTCAGAAATGTGTTTCATGCAAGCACGTTGCTACCAGCCATGTCTCCACACGTTATGGGAATATCTGGTGTTATGCCAAGTTTTGCATTCTTGCCGAGAATTGCATGCACCTCCAAATAATGCTTTTAAATGCTATAATATCTTTTGTGGGGGTTCATCAATGGTGATAAATGATTCGAAGTATATATTTTATGAACGTTTAGAGTTTAGAGTAATATTTTATTACATTCAGTAGAAGTATCATTCATTGAGATTCAGCAAAAATATGCGGTGATAACCCCATTTGATCAGTGTGCAAAGCAAAAGGACCTTTAAGAGGTGAATGCATAATTCGGCAGAACAGATGATAAAGGCTACCTGCCGAGATTTGCATCCACCTCTTTTCTCAGCACAAATGAGCGTTACCAGCCGAGAGGTGCATGAAATTCTCGGCAGGCATGCCAACAGCAGAAACAGCTGATCAGTCGTGAGTTACAAGTTCGCTACGTCAGAACTTATCTCCCATTTAGCGCATTAACTCTTTTTCGACAAAAAACACCTCAAGTGAGCGTAAAACCTTTTTTGCGAAATTCCATCAACCTTTTCTAATGCGATGCTTCAAAATGTGCATTAAAAAACATTGATGGAAACACGGCTAATGTCTATTTAAGATATGTACATATTGTTGTTATTTTAGTGTTTTTCTCTCCCGTTTTACTCATATATTCTAACCCAAGTGAAAGTATGTCAGCCAAAGACGAGTGGACAATAAAGATGTCTATTCTATTCTGTTCTACTATTGTAAAGAGTGTAATGTCGTGTAAAAAATCAAGACTTGGGCCAGATAAGAAAGCTTGAACTTTTACCAACATTTTTATTATCAACAAAAACAGACACCAATTAGAATACAAAAGTTCCACCGGAGTGTGTCAGAGATCGGTGCAAAATAGAGTCCCATTCTGTTACCAGAACAGAGACCCGAGTCAACATGAAAACCATGTAACGACTGACTTTCACCTCCTTTTGGACCTCCTTTTATAGCTCTGTTTCTTGGCTTCACATCATCTCTTGGCTCTCTTTCCTACTGCACCTGAATCTGGGAATGTCCAAGATTTTCACGTGCCTAAGCATTTGGTGGGAAAGTCCCTGACTGCCTGCTCCTCCTCTCTGTGTCTTTTGCATGCACTCTGCTTGATCATGCCATTTCATCCATAACCTGACTTTTGTGGAATAAACTGGTGTTGTTTGTGCTCTGTGCTAGAAACAGGACATTCTTACTGTGATGGACTATATTGATGTATGTTTTGTAATACAAAATCTGCTTCTATATTTTCCTTTGCAAGGTATTTTTGATGCTGCCTCACTGTGCTCCCTCCCTTTTCTCCCAAAGCACACGAACTTGCTCACATACACACATGTGCTACTGCTGAGCCTGGGCAGTTAGATACAGAAAGGAGCACACACACTCAGAGCTGTAGAGTTTTAACACTGTGATCCTAACTTTACACTATAAAATAACACTTTAAATGATGACAATGTAGACCACCATTGCTCTAGTAATTAATGATAACAATTTAGGCTATAATGCTCCAAAATAATTTACAACAAGTGTGTATACTAATATTTATTTTATACAGTTTCTGCAGTTAGTATATAATAAATCAACATATTTACTTACAGGAAATTCTACTTGCCCCATGAACTTTGGAATGTCATTGACAGGTAAACATCACAAACATACAGCAAAATGTTTTTTTCCAAAACTTGAATCGCTATCCTTCATTTTCTTGGGTGTTTCCTGGAGCCGTTTTACCACCATCCAAAATTGTTCAAATTCTTTCCAGCTGTGTGCAACTCCTCCATTTGGTTTTTGAATTGCATCGAGGGGCAAGTGTCGAATACGTTTTTAGTCTGCATACTGCCATACTTTTTTGAGTATGCTTTATTTTGTCACTCAAAACCTGCTTAGAATTAATTTGTAGTACGGATTTTGAGATACAGCTTTACAGTACATTGGCACCATTAGCATACTGTACACACATCTTCTCACACAAACACTCAGTTCATTAGAAGACACTTTTGTCCAAAGCAACAGATAATACACCCATTCAACCTCTAAAGGAGGATGTAGAAGTGCACAACCATAACACATCTATTTTCCCATGCATAGACTGCACATTAACAACACTACTTACCTTAACACATACATCAGTACACATGTATGAGTAATGTCACAGAAACACACCCTCACTGATTGTTGTCTTTTATACAGAGACCCCAAAATGCAATGCGGACACACACACCACCCCAACAACACACACAGATACTCAAACACTCCACTGTGTTGGCTCCAAGGTTGTTGTCTATCCTTCAGTCCCCCTCCCCTCTCCAAAGTTAATGAAATCACTGCCATAAAGTCACCAGACAGGCAGCTCTGTTCCAAACTACAAAAACCGAACACCCCGGGTGAGATTGAATATTAAGAAAAATGTGACAACAGACCTGGAAATGTTTCATTGGTGTATAAAGGGCATTTTGTCAGAGCATTTGTCAGCTCATGCATTCAAACTCTGAGTCACCTAGAAATGCATTAGCTAGAGGGAGCGGAATAATAGTGCTAAGTGAACTTAGTGAACAGTTACGTTGTTGATATCATGCTGCTTTGAAATGATTTGAATGAAAAGCCAATTTATAGAGTCACATGTTTTAAAAATGCTAATAATTTTTAAAATGGTGATGAAAATGAAAGTCATATTTAGTATGTTTCCTGTTATTTTATGTCCCATTAATGCATGTTTACTGTGTCATAATGGATTTGGAGAAAGGTATCATACATTGATTATCATGGACGTTGTTAGGCCTATTTTATGGGGGCTGAAGCCACCCTAACATGGTCCTAAGCCCCCCAAATAATAACAATTTTTTTTTTTTTTACAGTGCAGACATGTACACAACAAAGAAAAGCAAGAATATTGATAAACACTATAGAAATATACAAATATAATTCTATTTAAAATAATCCTCCTGGTTGTTTCCTCTGCTTCATAATTTAAATCCCTACTTTGTCGGCCACTAGGACCCAGAGGGAGGCTGCTTTTCATTGCTTCTCTGCGGAGCTGCCTAGTACCTTTACTACACACAGAGAGACACATGGACACACACACACACACACACACACAGTGACACACTGACTTGGTGAAGGAAGATTGATTCAATGTAGAGTGATACAGAGTGAAACTGTAAGTTGTTGTTAGTGACTGTTAGTTGCTGAACTTAAGCTACGTTTACTTGAGGTAAAGGAAAGGGGATATTTTAGTTGGCTATGGAAGAGGTCAGTAAGTTAGTGGTCTGCAGGTCACTAGTGATCTAAAGGTCGGAAATGTGGGCTGTTTTGTTTTCTTCTAACAATAGGCATTTGTTGGCAGGTCTAGGCACCAAGGCAAAGCCTAAACTAAATTGTTTCATGATATTTACTATATTTGCTATATTCTGACCCAAAGGCTAGGCTTTACATGAGCATATACCTACTAGGGTTGGGCCGATAGATGATGCCATCGTCCATCGGCGATGGCTGACAGATGGTCGATGGTTGAGCAGGCAAACCCTGTTAATTCCAATCCCCGGCAAAAAAAATCAAAATTTTCACATAATACCTCTATGTGAAGATTTTACATTATTACCTTCCTCTCTGTCTCCCCCCTCACCCGTCTTCTCCACTTTCTCCATCAGCAGTGCGTTCTATAAAGTTGCCTAAAAGACTCAGAATTCGCTTTTTCCATATTTTTCCACCTGTGATCCGTTATCCGTTATCACGGCAGCAGGTGAGCCACTTGAGGGCTTGTTAATGACGCAGCCTATCAAACAACCGAAACTAACATCTGCACTCTGTGTGTTCAATGCTGCTTTACCCTGTCCTTGCTTGTAAAATATCTACCGCAACTTGTAATGTCATAGGCTACCAAGTTTTTAACTGAGTGAAGTCTGTGCGAGGTAACACATGCACATAAGACGACCGCTAACCCTAAGATTTCAGTTTTCATGAGACTCTATTGTCTGTATACAAAATGCAAAGAAATGCAGTTTGGAGCAAAACACTGAACTTAGCAGCTTTAAAATAGTTTATTAGCAATAAGCAATCAAGATTTGTATAAAATAGTGTTAAAAAACATCACATCTTGTTCTTTTGATATATATGTAGGCTATATATATATAAAAAAAAATCCTAGAGGAGGCACCCACATTTTTTTGCTTCGATGCCCATGTAACATTACAGTAAGTTTTGTGCAGCAGAGGAGAAATGGAAAAAGAGAGTTTGTCTGTCGCTTTTTATTTGTTAACATCTTGGCTTCTTCCCTGGTTGTTGACAGAAGTGTAGTTCTAATACAGTAACAAAACATCCCTGTTGATGATTCAGCCCTATATCCTGGATAGGTAAATAAAAACAATTTGGTACTTCGATTAAATGTTTTTTAATTTTCTTCTCGTCTCTCTTCTATTTTCCTCTTTCAGAGATCCAAACCAACCAGTTCCACAAGATACAAAGTTCATCCACACAAAACCCAACCGGTTTGAAGAAGTAGCCTGGACCAAGTACAACCCCAAAGACCAACTCTATCTTCACATTGGTCTCAAACCTCGAGTCAGAGACCACTACCGTGCTACCAAGGTCGCTTTCTGGTTAGAACTAGTTCCGCATCTACACAACATTAATGAATTTTTTCAATACGTATCCACAACCACCAAGATACCTCCGCAGGACACCACCCCCTACCCCTATACCAAACGGTTCCCTGGCAAAAACAACTGGCCTTCCACCACCCGCCATCCAGGTGTCCCACCTGCCAACACCAAACAGACCACTGACCAGCGCAAGAGTGGCGACCTGACTGATGAGTCTACTGTGGTAATCGAGACCAAGAGGGACTACTCCACTGAGCTCAGTGTCACCATTGCAGTTGGAGCCTCCCTGCTCTTTCTGAACATCCTCGCCTTTGCTGCACTCTACTACAAGAAAGACAAGCGAAGGCACGAGTCCAACCACCGCATCTCCACCCCTCAGCGCAACTCTGCTCCAACCAACACGCCCTCCACCACTAATAATGTGGCCCACCTGCAGAGCGAGGAACTGATGTCTCTGCAGATGAAGCAGCAGCAGCTGGAGCACGAGCATCACCACGAGTGTGAGTCCCTGCAGACCCATGACACACTGCGTCTGACCTGCCCACCAGACTACACCCTCACCCTGCGCCGATCACCTGATGACATACCCCTGATGACGCCCAGCACCATCACTATGATCCCCAACTCACTGGCTGGCATGCAGCCTCTGCACAACTTCAATACTTTCGGTGGCAGCCAGAACAGTACCAACTTACCCCACGGCCACTCCACCACGAGAGTATAGCTCCACTGAGACTGGAAGGCACCAGATTTCTTATGGATCAGCAACTAACCTTGCAAGGCATATGATAAGATAAAAGTGTGTGAAGCACAGACTCACAAGATGTTATTTTGCTACCATGCCTTCTTATAAAGTATATACAGTATATATTGATCACAAAGTCATGAAAATATTAAAAGTGAATGTTACTATAGTAATAACTCTGTTTGGAGCTAAGCTTCATGAAAGAGTTTCAAGAAATTTTACCAAAAGACATGGTGACAAGGGGATGACTGTTAATATTCTTACAACACAAAATGAAGAGTTTGAGTGGGACACACAAGTGTTTTGTGCTATACATACACTATAGGAAGACAGTGGTGGAAGGGGTTGTTGAAAAGCAGCAATCGAACATTTGGAACATCATCTGTTAATGATCCATGCATCAGACACCTGACCTGACTGGCACAGAATTCTACACCCCAGCCTGAAATGTATTTATGGAAACTTTGTAAAAAAAAAAAAAAATTAAAAAGAAAGAAAGAAAGAAAAAAGGTATATAGTTGTGCGTGGAAATTTTAAATTTCATAAAGAAAAAAATACATTAAAAGAGCTCCTATTATTATTCTTTTGGCTGAGATACTTTTGGTTTTTCTAGCTTGTGCTTTCTGTTTAGGTGCGTGTAAATATAACTGAACATTATTCATTGTTTTTCTGATTACAACCTGTGTTTCATTGTTTTTTTCACAGAACAACCAAAATGCAAACACAATCCCATCTTTGGAGAGTTACACACACTGCGTTTGCAGGTCATCACATACGCTACCGTCTTGTGTGTTGCTTTGTTTCCTCTCTTTAGACAGTGCTTGTCCAGAAGAGCTTTACTCTACATTTTCAGACATATCTCCTGTCTGAGAATGAGGAGTGACTTGATCCGATCACCTACTGTCACCTAATGTAACGCTTCTGATCATTTTCTTTGTGGGCTTTTTCTGTCTTGCAATCTCAGCACTGCCTGCTTACAATGTGACCAGCAATGTATTATTTAGAAATAAAAAAGGCAGTGAATATTTTGTATCAATATTAGTTGGATATGTTTGTAAAGAAATATATGTTAGATATTTCAGATTGTCATATGCTAGCAATATGTAAAGTACTGTCCCAGGCTTGTGATATTATGGGCTACATAAGCAAGTGAATGAGTTTAAATATTAATAGTACTAATTATTATAAAATTACAAAAAAAGTAACCATTAACTCTCTTTCCGTTTTGCATCCTAAAAAATGGAACATCCAGAAGAGTTTAAGCTACATTTGTAAATTCTATAAAAATATATTCTTGCCATTTGGTCCCTAAACCAGTTAAGATAACAAGGGTTTTAATAGAGCATAAAAATCCCTAGTTTGTCTTATATTAGTTTGCAGTTTTGCCTTAAGTGATAATAGAGATATTTCTGGCTGGACACCTGTATAAACTTTTTCTGCAACATTTTTAATAAAACATCACAGTATTTTCTAAAAAAAAAAAAAAGAAAAGAAAAAAGAAACTAGAAGGTTTGATTGGATTTAACTGGATTTTTGTGTTTTCAAATGTGATTGGATGTTTGTGTATGTAAGTCTGATTTAGTTTGCTGTAAATTCTCAACTGCAGTGAGAATCACCACTCTGACGTTCTTTCGATCGCTGTTCAGTTACTGTCAATGAAACAACACTTCCTGCACGGATTTTAATGTGAATCCACAAAAAAGCACCGGTCAGTAACAGCACAAGTAATAGCAAAGGAGAATGCAGAAAAGTGAGAGATTTAATGCAGTCATTCTGCACAAATAAGCATACAGGCACTTAATGACATAAAGAACACAAAAGGAATATAGCATATGAGCTAAATTAAGGGTCTATTTGAAAAATAATTTCATAGTCTGTGGCTTTTGATCAACTTTATCATGCCACTTTATTGGCCACATACAATTAATACACAGTGCAAGGCATGCAGGATTTTTTCTGTTGTTGCTCTGCATTTAACCCATGCTAATTGGGCCGCAGTGGGCAGCCATTGTGCAGTGCCCGGTGCCAAGTCGCCATGGACAGAACTAATGTTGCCTTGTGTAAAGCTGCTTAAAAACATTCACAAATTAAATTAACAGTGAGATTAGACAAAGATTCAGATAAGAATGAATCGTTCTTTACAGAAGCGTACACAAAGTCAGAGTCGAAAACTATTTGTGCAACTCAAAGTTCCCACATTGGGTGTGACACTGAATTCACTCATTCACACACATTTAAGTTACGAGCACAAACTTTGGCCCTGCTTTTACAGTCAATTTACAGTCATTTTTTTTCATTTGTTTACAAAGGATGACATACAACCACAGGCTTTGAAAGAATTTTTCGCAGGTTTATTATTACCCTAATATGAGAATGTCTGGTAGCTGCTCTGGAAGGCAACGTGTTTCACGCTCGGTACTCTTCCGTAGGCAGCACCAAGACTTTTACTTCTCTCTAGAAAAAAGAAAATATGAGGGAGTGACATGATAATTACATTGTAACCAAATATCTATAAATAAAAAACATGTTTGGATGTCTCTTATCGGTAAAGTCAGGGTTGGCCGAGTGACAGACCGATTGAAGACCCAAACAAGACAATGGAGAATGCTGGTACAGTTTGTCAGGTTTATTGCAAAACAAAGGCAGAAAAATACAAACTAAGGCAGAAATCCAAAACTAATCCAAAGTAGAAACATAGAAATGAGGGCTTAAATACTGACAAAGCAAACGAGCAGGGAGGGAGTGAACAGGTGAAAGACATGAGGGATTAATCAGACACAACAGGAACAAAGCTAGACATGAACACCAGACAATGACGGTTCCAAAATAAAACACAAAGTAAAACATGTGACACTAAAGCAGGGTGGGTGTAACAGAAAACACAGAACACATGCACACAACAGCCAGGAACACAGAACAAGAACACAGGGGCAGGGAGTGAATCAACAACTAGTAAACGTGGGAAAATGGCAAAATGACAATGAAAAACAACAACATAACACATCAAAGCAAGACTGAAACAGGAAGAATATAGAACACGAAACCAAAACCATGACAGGTAAGGAGTATTAAAAACATTATCTCCTACATTATGACGTTACAAGCACAAAATTATCTCACCCTACTGCTAAGAACAGACTTATTAAAACACAAAATAATATGGAGGGCCCCTACTCAATAATTCAATAATAATGTCTCAGTGAACCAGCAGTGAAGCAAGAATTAATCAGGTCTAACCAGGTACAAATACACAACTAGGTACAACCATACTGTGGATCAAATGTGTGATTAGGTCAAACACAACATAACTCCTCATTCAGCCCATTGAAGAGAAACTTATTGCTGCCACCATGACAAATTAATAATAATTAAAGCTGCAAACAGCGTTTAGCGGGCCCTCACCCCCTTGCGTGCCTCGGCTGCAGCGACAGCAGGGGCTCTTGCATCGCACTTCAGCTGACACGGCTCTGGAGTTACCGATGCAAAAATCACACAGGTGATGTGTTGAAAATATTTCACAAGGTATGGTTGAGGTGTCAGTTATTCAATTCAAAGTGGCTGACTTCCGGTTGGGTTTAGGGTATAACTCTCAAAAAACAGCTTCCTGTTTAATTGCAAATAATTACACACCAAGGCAAGAGCATTTGACAAGTTTAAGATGGATGTGGTCAACCTGTTAGGAGGAGCATAAATGCCTCACTATGGACATTTTTGTCCGCTAACGTGCTAAGTGGGGTAAAAATATGAAAGAGGCATAAGAAATTAATTTTAAAACGTGTCCTTTCTAGATGCCAGTAAGTGGCACTATTACTATGACTGGATATTGACAAGTAAGTATCTAAGAGGTTTACTTGTGAATTTTGGGACAGATCTGACCACGTCTAGTCCATTTACATGCAACTTCCTTTTTCATGGCGTAACATCAATTCAGCGGCACGCCATTGACATACCGTTTCATCAATCAAAATGGATGATGCTACCCACATTTGAGGTTGATCGGGTGCTGTAGGAGGAGTTTGTTGTTGTAAGTACGGAGGGTGTAAACGGGTTGAAATTTCATAAATAACTGAAAATGGCTGACTTCCTGTTGGGTTTAGGGTATGGCTCGAAGAGGGTTCATTTTAAGTGTAGAGATGACACATCAGCTCCCCCACATTTCGTACAGCTACGTAAAATGTAGGGCGGGGGCTGGTTCTTTTAAATTAAAGGGGGCGCTATGGAGCCATTTTTCCACAACCACACTGAGCAACCATATTAGATAACAGAGACATGCGTGGTAAGTTTTCTGAGGTTTTAAGCATAAAAATGAGGCATTAGGGGAAAACTTTGAAACATGTGTTTTTTTCAGGTGTCATCAGGGCCCCATGGGGAACAATTGACCCAAATTTGGTATCAATAGGACTTGTGGTTATGGAGATATAAAATGCATGTCAATGGGATTTTTTTTGAGATCTTTAATTTGCAATAACAGCACCAACTATGGGCATATTTGGGTGAAGTGTGGTGCCTGTAGTAAGGGGACCATGCTGAACAATTCGGCACTGGTTTCATGTCAGCGTGATTTGTGGTTATAGAGGTTTTTCAGTTTTCGCGATGTAGCAAAAAAATGGTTTAGGCGGAAATGGGCGTGGCCTACACCACAAGATTCAGCTCGATCCCCCGAACGCGTGGATATAAGGTTTTTGATATACGCCTTTGTAGGCGGGAGTTCCAAGCCCAAATGCGTTGACCTTGCTTATAGCGCCCCCTAGAGGTAGAAGTGTGCGGATTTTGCCGCCTGAGGTACTCTTGAGGCTGTGAACCTACCTTGTCAGTTTCACGTCCCTAGCAGTTACCGTCTAGGCCGCAGTATGAGTTTTATGCACGGAAGAAAAAAAAATAATAATTAAAGCTGCAAGCAGCGTTGGGCGGGCCCTCGCACTTGTAGCGCGTCCGGGTGTGAGCCGGCCGAGTTGCATATTCTGGAGCTCTGCCGGTGCGGCTGTGAATTTGCTACGCGGTTCCGACGCCGCAAGAAAGTATTATATGTCACTTCCTGTGTCCCCTATGTGGAGCTACATAGCACTTGCCCTTATGAATATAAATCGGTATTGGTGTGTAGATGTCTGCAGGGTGGGAGAGTTATCAAGCACGTAAAGTTTGGTTCATGTGAGCATGTACACTGAAGTTACAACAACTAACTGTGTCATGGCGAAGACTTGATCTTTGACGCCACGCCACGGATACGGCCATTGACGAAAACTCACAGATAGCAGAACTTTTCATCTTCAATGACTTTAGAAGGCACAGCACAAATTTGAAGTCAGTCGGACTAAATCCATAGAAGGAGTTCGTTAAAGTATGGAGTGTGTAAATCATCCAAAATTTGATGTAAAATTCAAAATGGCTGACTTCCTGTCGGGTTTAGGGCATCGCTCCAAGAGGCTTTTTGGTACGTCTGGACATGATACACGTACCACAGAAAATTCGTACATGTAGGTCAAACGTGCGGCTGGGGCTGCTTTGATAAAAGTCACTTCCTGTTGCCAGCAGGTGGCGCTATGACTGTGGGTGAATGTCGGCATGTACATGTGTTCAGGGCGGGACTCTCATCCTACATGTACAGTTTGGTCCAGATGTGAGCATGTACACTGAAGTTACAACAACTTCCGTGTCATGGCGAATCATCGACGCCACAGACATGCCCATTGACGAAAACTCGCAAAGAGCACAACTTTTCATCGTCAATGCCTTTAGAAGGCACAGCAGAAATTTGACGTCGATCCGACTAAATCCCTAAGAGGAGTTCGTTAAAGTACGAAGTGTGTAAATCATCCAAAAATGGCCGTAAAATTCAAAATGGCCGACTTCCTGTTGACTTTAGGGTATGGGTTCTTGAGGCTTTTTTGTGCGTCTTGATATGATACATGTCCCCAGATAATTTCGTGCATGTAGGTTGAACGTGAACGAGGGGCTAATCTTTTCCAATTTTCTAGGTGGCGCTAGCGAGTCATTTTGCCACGCCCATGCGCGAAACCCATAAAATACGAAATCTTTCACTAGTTCTGACATGTGTGCAAATTTTGGTGAGTTTTCGAGTATGTTTAGGTCCCTAAAATGGAGCTTACTTTGGAGAAAGAAAAAAAAAATTAAAGCTGCAAGCAGCGTTGGGCAGGCCCTCGCACTTGTAGCGCGTCCGGGTGTGAGCCAGCCGCATTGCATATTCTGGAGCTCTGCCGGTGCGGCTGTGAATTTGCTACGCGGTTCCGACGCCGCATGAAGGTGTTATATGTCACTTCCTGTGTCCCCTTTGTGGCGCAACATAGCACTTGCCGCTATGAATATAAATTAATATTGGCGTGTAGATATGTTCAGGGCAGGACAGTTATCAAGCACGTAACATTTGGTTCAGATGTGAGCATGTACACTGAAGTTACAACAACTTCCTGTGTCACAGTGAAGACTTGATCTTTGACGCCACGCCACGGACACGCCCATTGACGAAAACTCACAGATAGCACAACTTTTCATCGCCAATGCCTTTAGAAGGTACACCACAAATTTGAAATCGATCTGACAAAATCCCTAGGAGGAGTTCGTTAAAGTACGGAGTGTGTAAATCATCAAAAAATTGCCATAAAATTCAAAATGGCTGACTTCCTGTTGGTTTTCGGGCATCACTCCAAGAGGCTTTTTTGTGCGTCTGGACAAGATACA